CTAAGTTCACTGAATGACACTTAATAAATGGCACTCTACTTTGAAACTAGTCCTTATAACCTCTAAAATCTGATTATCTAGGGAAAAAATTGAAGTTAGAAACATGCAAGCATGAAAAGATAGTTAAGTATTGATATTTACTATAATAAAACTATTTTAGGATAGTTTTATTTACATATATAATATGTAAATAGCCTAATGTATTTATGTAGGATGGCTGTAAGCATAGTGGTTAAGATTACAAACCTAATCTCTGGATTTAACTCTAGCTCCTCAATTTACTAGTGTCACATTGGGCAACTTAACCCCTGTAAGCCTCAGTTTCCTCATAGGTAAAATTGAGATGACACTGTTTGTCTCATAGAGTTATTGTGGATATTAAAATGAGGTAGTACCAAGGGACACTAAGTAAAAATTCAATTTTTATACTTAAAATGATGAGTCAAATAGATTTTCAAAGTCGGTTTAGGTAGAGAGGGTTCACTATAAGCAGAATTATGCTTTGTTATCAGGAATCAGAGAATATTCAAGTCCATTCAGAGAATGTTCTTATAAGCAAGAAAACTGAGTATTATAGACTTCATTCTTATAAAGACATTTTCTTATGAAACATTTCATGAACTTTACAAAATTATTAGTTGACACACTTAATTTTTTAAAATAGACCAAGGTACATCTTAATCAAACAATAATAAATTGTAAAAAAAACAAAAAACAAAAGCAGTTGATGGTTTAGAAACTTTAAAAAGTTGTTTCATAAGAGAATTATGCTTTAGAAACATAAGGATTCGTTGTTTTTATCTTTATGATTACTTTTAAAATGTTTTAACAGCTTTGTTGAGCTATAATTCAAATGCCATATAATTCACTCAAAGTGTACAATGCAATGGTTTTGAGCATATTCCCCGAGTTGTGCAACCATAACCACAAAAATAAACCTCATATCCATTAGCAACCATTTCCCATTTCTCCCAATCTTCCTAGGCCCTATACAACCACTAACCTTTCTGCCTCTATGGATTTTTATTTTTAGGACATTTCTTACAAATAGAATCATAAAATATATGGTCTTTTGTAACTTGCTTCTTTCACTTAGCGTGATGTTTTCAAAGTTCGTTGATGGTGTAACATATATTAATATTTATTCCTTCTATCTACACTAATAAAAGACAAACATGCAAATCGACTGTACCTTCATTACACCTTAA